TCACCACCACCAGCCAGCTGCTGGCACTGGCTGGGTACAGCCCGTCAGCCAGCCCGTTCTGTACACCAGCAAACATCATCATCATCAGCTACAGCATCATCATCATCAGCACCATCATCATCATCATCAGCTACAGCACCGTCGCCATGATGGTGGTCACCACCACCAGCCAGCTGCTGGCACTGGCTGGGTACAGCCCGTCAGCCAGACCGTTCTGTACACCAGCAAACAGCAGCATCATCATCATCATCAGCTACAGCATCATCATCAGCTACAGCATCATCAGCTACAGCACCATCATCATCATCAGCTACACCATCATCATCATCATCAGCTACAGCACCATCATCATCAGCTACAGCTACAGCATCATCATCATCAGCTACAGCATCATCATCATCAGCTACAGCATCATCATCATCATCAGCTACACCATCATCATCATCAGCTACACCATCATCATCATCAGCTACAGCACCATCATCATCATCAGCTACACCATCATCATCATCAGCTACACCATCATCATCATCAGCTACAGCACCATCATCATCATCAGCTACACCATCATCAGCTACAGCATCATCATCATCAGCTACAGCACCATCGCCATGATGGTGGTCACCACCACCAGCCAGCTGCTGGCACTGGCTGGGTACAGCCCGTCAGCCAGCCCGTTCTGTACACCAGCAAACATCATCATCATCAGCTACAGCATCATCATCATCAGCTACAGCACCATCATCATCAGCTACAGCATCATCAGCTACAGCATCATCATCATCAGCTACAGCATCATCATCATCAGCTACATCACCATCATCATCAGCTACAGCATCATCATCATCAGCTACAGCATCATCATCAGCTACAGAATCATCATCATCAGCTACAGCACCATCGTCATGATGGTGGTCACCACCACCAGCCAGCTGCTGGCGCTAGCCGGGTACAGCCCGTCAGCCAGCCCGTTCTGTACACCAGCAAACAGCACCATCATCAGCTACATCATCATCAGCTACAGCACCGTCGTCATGATGGTGGTCACCACCACCAGCCAGCTGCTGGCACTGGCTGGGTACAGCCCGTCAGCCAGCCCGTTCTGTACACCAGCAAACAGCACCATCATCATCAGCTACAGCACCATCATCATCATCAGCACCATCATCATCATCAGCTACAGCACCATCATCATCATCAGCTACAGCATCATCAGCACCATCATCATCAGCTACAGCATCATCATCAGCTACAGCACCATCGTCATCAGCTGCTGGCGCTGGCTGGGTACAGCCCGTCAGCCAGCCCGTTCTGTGCACCAGCAAACAGCACCATCATCAGCACCATCATCATCATCATCAGCTACAGCATCATCAGCACATCATCATCAGCTACAGCATCATCGTCATCAGCTGCTGGCACTGGCTGGGTACAGCCCATCGGCCAGCCCGTTCTGTGCACCAGCAAACATCATCATCAGCTACAGCATCATCATCATCATCAGCTACAGCATCATCATCATCATCAGCTACAGCACCGTCGCTATGATGGTCGTCACCACCACCAGCCAGCTGCTGGCGCTGGCTGGGTACAGCCCGTCAGCCAGCCCGTTCTGTGCACCAGCAAACAGCACCATCATCATCATCATCAGCTACAGCATCATCAGCACCATCATCATCATCATCAGCTACATCGTCATCAGCTGCTGGCACTAGCCGGGTACAGCCCGTCAGCCAGCCCGTTCTGTACACCAGCAAACATCATCATCATCATCACCAACATCATCATCATCATCAGCTACAGCAGCACCATCATCATCAGCTACAGCACCATCATCATCATCAGCTACAGCACCGTCGCCATGATGGTGGTCACCACCACCAGCCAGCTGCTGGCACTGGCTGGGTACAGCCCGTCAGCCAGCCCGTTCTGTACACCAGCAAACAGCACCATCATCATCATCATCAGCTACAGCATCATCAGCACCATCATCATCATCATCAGCTACATCGTCATCAGCTGCTGGCACTAGCCGGGTACAGCCCGTCAGCCAGCCCGTTCTGTACACCAGCAAACATCATCATCATCATCTCCAACATCATCATCATCATCAGCTACAGCACCATCATCATCATCAGCTACAGCACCATCATCATCATCAGCTACAGCACCGTCGCCATGATGGTGGTCACCACCACCAGCCAGCTGCTGGCGCTGGCTGGGTACAGCCCGTCGGCCAGACCGTTCTGTGCACCAGCAAACATCATCATCATCAGCTACAGCATCATCAGCACCATCATCATCATCATCAGCTACATCGTCATCAGCTGCTGGCGCTGGCTGGGTACAGCCCGTCGGCCAGCCCGTTCTGTGCACCAGCAATCATCATCATCATCAGCTACAGCATCATCAGCACCATCATCATCATCATCAGCTACATCGTCATCAGCTGCTGGCACTGGCTGGGTACAGCCCGTCGGCCAGCCCGTTCTGTGCACCAGCAAACATCATCATCATCAGCTACATCATCATCATCATCAGCTACAGCATCATCAGCTACAACATCATCATCAGCTACAGCATCATCAGCTACAACATCATCATCATCATCATCTCTCCCCGTGTCTCCCCGTGTCTCCCTGTCTCCACGTGTCTCTCCCTGTCTCCACATGTCTCTCCCTGTCTCCACGTGTCTCTCCCTGTCTCCACGTGTCTCTCCCTGTCTCCCCGTGTCTCTCCCTGTCTCCCCGTGTCTCTCCCTGTCTCCACATGTCTCTCCCTGTCTCCACGTGTCTCTCCCTGTCTCCACGTGTCTCTCCCTGTCTCCACGTGTCTCTCCCTGTCTCCACGTGTCTCTCCCTGTCTCCACGTGTCTCCACGTGTCTCTCCCTGTCTCCATGTCTCCCCGTCCCTGTCTCCACGTGTCTCTCCCTGTCTCCACATGTCTCTCCCTGTCTCCACGTGTCTCTCCCTGTCTCCACGTGTCTCTCCCTGTCTCCACGTGTCTCTCCCTGTCTCCACGTCTCCCCGTCCCTGTCTCCACGTGTCTCTCCCTGTCTCCACATGTCTCTCCCTGTCTCCACGTGTCTCTCCCTGTCTCCACGTCTCCCCGTCCCTGTCTCCACGTGTCTCTCCCTGTCTCCACGTGTCTCTCCCTGTCTCTCCTGTCTCCACGTGTCTCTCCCTGTCTCCACGTGTCTCTCCCTGTCTCCACGTGTCTCTCCCTGTCTCCACGTGTCTCTCCCTGTCTCCACGTGTCTCTCCCTGTCTCCACGTGTCTCTCCCTGTCTCCACGTGTCTCTCCCTGTCTCCACGTGTCTCTCCCTGTCTCCACGTGTCTCTCCCTGTCTCCAGGTGTCTCTCCCTGTCTCCACGTGTCTCTCCCTGTCTCCACGTGTCTCTCCCTGTCTCCACGTGTCTCTCCCTGTCTCCACGTGTCTCTCCCTGTCTCCACGTGTCTCTCCCTGTCTCCACGTGTCTCTCCCTGTCTCCACGTGTCTCTCCCTGTCTCCACGTGTCTCTCCCTGTCTCCACGTCTCCCCGTCCCTGTCTCCACGTGTCTCTCCCTGTCTCCACGTCTCCCCGTCCCTGTCTCCACGTGTCTCTCCCTGTCTCCACGTGTCTCTCCCTGTCTCCACGTGTCTCTCCCTGTCTCCACGTGTCTCTCCCTGTCTCCACGTGTCTCTCCCTGTCTCCAGGTGTCTCTCCCTGTCTCCACGTGTCTCTCCCTGTCTCCACATGTCTCTCCCTGTCTCCACGTGTCTCTCCCTGTCTCCACGTGTCTCTCCCTGTCTCCACGTGTCTCTCCCTGTCTCCACGTGTCTCTCCCTGTCTCCACGTGTCTCTCCCTGTCTCCACGTGTCTCTCCCTGTCTCCACGTGTCTCTCCCTGTCTCCACGTCTCCCCGTCCCTGTCTCCACGTGTCTCTCCCTGTCTCCACGTGTCTCTCCCTGTCTCCACGTGTCTCTCCCTGTCTCCACGACTCTCTCCCCGTGTCTCCCCCTGTCTCCCTGTCTCCCTGTCTCTCCCTGTCTCCACGTGTCTCCACGTGTCTCCACGTGTCTCCACGTCCCTGTCTCCACGTGTCTCTCCCTGTCTCCACGTGTCTCTCCCTGTCTCCACGTGTCCCTCCCTGTCTCCACGTGTCTCTCCCTGTCTCCACGTGTCTCTCCCTGTCTCCACGTCTCCCCGTCCCTGTCTCCACGTGTCTCTCCCTGTCTCCACATGTCTCTCCCTGTCTCCACGTGTCTCTCCCTGTCTCCACGTCTCCCCGTCCCTGTCTCCACGTGTCTCTCCCTGTCTCCACGTGTCTCTCCCTGTCTCTCCCTGTCTCCACGTGTCTCTCCCTGTCTCCACGTGTCTCTCCCTGTCTCCACGTGTCTCTCCCTGTCTCCACGTGTCTCTCCCTGTCTCCACGTGTCTCTCCCTGTCTCCACGTGTCTCTCCCTGTCTCCACGTGTCTCTCCCTGTCTCCACGTGTCTCTCCCTGTCTCCACGTGTCTCTCCCTGTCTCCACGTGTCTCTCCCTGTCTCCACGTGTCTCTCCCTGTCTCTACCTGTCTCTCCCTGTCTCCACGTGTCTCTCCCTGTCTCCACGTGTCCCTCGCTGTCTCCACGTGTCTCTCCCTGTCTCCACGTGTCTCTCCCTGTCTCCCTGTCTCCCTGTGTCTCCACGGCTCCCCGTCCCTGTCTCCCCGTCTCTCCCTGTCTCCCCGTCCCCGTCTCCCTGTCTCCCTGTCTCCACGTCTCTCTCTGTCTCCCTGTCTCCCCGTCTCTCCCTGTCTCTCTGTGTCCACGTCTCCCCGTCCCTGTCTCCACGTCTCCCGGTCCCTGTGTCCACGTCTCCCGGTCCCTGTCTCCACGTGTCTCCCTGTCTCCACGTGTCTCTCCCTGTCTCCACGTGTCTCCACGTGTCTCTCCCTGTCTCCACGTGTCTCCACGTGTCTCTCCCTGTCTCCACGTGTCTCTCCCTGTCTCCCTGTCTCTCGCTGACTCCACGTCTCCCGGTCCCTGTCTCCCCGTGTCTCTCCCTGTCTCTCCCTGTCTCTCCCTGTCTCCACGTGTCTCTCCCTCTCTCCACGTCTCCCCGTCCCTGTCTCCACGTGTCTCTCCCTGTCTCCACGTCTCCCCGTCCCTGTCTCCACGTGTCTCTCCCTGTCTCCACGTGTCTCTCCCTGTCTCCACGTGTCTCTCCCTGTCTCCACGTGTCTCTCCCTGTCTCCACGTGTCTCTCCCTGTCTCCAGGTGTCTCTCCCTGTCTCCAGGTGTCTCTCCCTGTCTCCACGTGTCTCTCCCTGTCTCCACGTGTCTCTCCCTGTCTCCACGTGTCTCTCCCTGTCTCCACGTGTCTCTCCCTGTCTCCACGTGTCTCTCCCTGTCTCCACGTGTCTCTCCCTGTCTCCACGTGTCTCTCCCTGTCTCCACGTGTCTCTCCCTGTCTCCACGTGTCTCTCCCTGTCTCCACGTCTCCCCGTCCCTGTCTCCACGTGTCTCTCCCTGTCTCCACGTCTCCCCGTCCCTGTCTCCACGTGTCTCTCCCTGTCTCCACGTGTCTCTCCCTGTCTCCACGTGTCTCTCCCTGTCTCCACGACTCTCTCCCCGTGTCTCCCCCTGTCTCCCTGTCTCCCTGTCTCTCCCTGTCTCCACGTGTCTCCACGTGTCTCCACGTGTCTCCACGTCCCTGTCTCCACGTGTCTCTCCCTGTCTCCACGTGTCTCTCCCTGTCTCCACGTGTCCCTCCCTGTCTCCACGTGTCTCTCCCTGTCTCCACGTGTCTCTCCCTGTCTCCACGTCTCCCCGTCCCTGTCTCCACGTGTCTCTCCCTGTCTCCACATGTCTCTCCCTGTCTCCACGTGTCTCTCCCTGTCTCCACGTCTCCCCGTCCCTGTCTCCACGTGTCTCTCCCTGTCTCCACGTGTCTCTCCCTGTCTCTCCCTGTCTCCACGTGTCTCTCCCTGTCTCCACGTGTCTCTCCCTGTCTCCACGTGTCTCTCCCTGTCTCCACGTGTCTCTCCCTGTCTCCACGTGTCTCTCCCTGTCTCCACGTGTCTCTCCCTGTCTCCACGTGTCTCTCCCTGTCTCCACGTGTCTCTCCCTGTCTCCACGTGTCTCTCCCTGTCTCCACGTGTCTCTCCCTGTCTCCACGTGTCTCTCCCTGTCTCTACCTGTCTCTCCCTGTCTCCACGTGTCTCTCCCTGTCTCCACGTGTCCCTCTCTGTCTCCACGTGTCTCTCCCTGTCTCCACGTGTCTCTCCCTGTCTCCCTGTCTCCCTGTGTCTCCACGGCTCCCCGTCCCTGTCTCCCCGTCTCTCCCTGTCTCCCCGTCCCCGTCTCCCTGTCTCCCTGTCTCCACGTCTCTCTCTGTCTCCCTGTCTCCCCGTCTCTCCCTGTCTCTCTGTGTCCACGTCTCCCCGTCCCTGTCTCCACGTCTCCCGGTCCCTGTGTCCACGTCTCCCGGTCCCTGTCTCCACGTGTCTCTCCCTGTCTCCACGTGTCTCTCCCTGTCTCCACGTGTCTCCACGTGTCTCTCCCTGTCTCCACGTGTCTCCACGTGTCTCTCCCTGTCTCCACGTGTCTCCACGTGTCTCTCCCTGTCTCCACGTGTCTCTCCCTGTCTCCCTGTCTCTCGCTGACTCCACGTCTCCCCGTCCCTGTCTCCACGTGTCTCTCCCTGTCTCCACGTGTCTCTCCCTGTCTCCACGTCTCCCCGTCCCTGTCTCCACGTGTCTCTCCCTGTCTCCACGTGTCTCCCTGTCTCCACGTCTCCCCGTCCCTGTCTCCACGTGTCTCTCCCTGTCTCCACGTGTCTCCACGTGTCTCCCTGTCTCCACGTCTCCCCGTCCCTGTCCCTGTCTCCACGTGTCTCTCCCTGTCTCCACGTGTCTCTCCCTGTCTCCACGTCTCCCCGTCCCTGTCTCTCCCTGTCTCCCCGTGTCTCCCCCCCGTCTCCTCCCCGCGTGTCTCTGCCTCACCTTGAACCTGTTAAACCTCTTCTTCCAGGACCTGAGGCCCGAGAGGTAGACTTGCCGCAGGGCCTCGTGGCTCAGGTGCAGGTCGATGCCATCCTGGGTGACCGTGAACTGGAACGCCACGGCCTGGTGAGCCTCCGCCATCGCGGGGAGGACGACGAGGAGGAGGAGGACGAGGACGAGGAGGAGGGAGAAGACGAGGAGGAGGAGGAGGGAGAAGACGCTGCGAGAGGAGGGAGGAGAGACGGGGAGACTGGGATGAGGTGGTGAGGAGAGACTGGGATGAGGTGGGAGGAGAGACGAGGAGACTGGGATGAGGTGGTGAGGAGAGACGGGGAGACTGGGATGAGGTGGTGAGAGAGGAGGGAGGAGAGACGGGGAGACTGGGATGAGGTGGTGAGGAGAGACGGGGAGACTGGGATGAGGTGGTGAGAGAGGAGGGAGGAGAGACGGGGAGACTGGGATGAGGTGGTGAGGAGAGACGGGGAGACTGGGATGAGGTGGTGAGGAGAGACGGGGATGAAGTGAGGAGAGACGGGGAGACTGGGATGAGGAGGGAGGAGAGACGGGGAGACTGGGATGAGGTGGTGAGGAGAGACGGGGAGACTGGGATGAGGTGGTGAGAGACGGGGAGACTGGGATGAGGTGGTGAGAGACTGGGATGAGGTGGTAAGAGACGGGGAGACTGGGATGAGGTGGGAGGAGAGACGGGGAGACTGGGATGAGGTGGTGAGAGACGGGGAGACCGGGAGGAGACACTGGCAGAGAGAGGGAGGCAAGAGAGAGATGAGGGAGACACGGGGAGACACGGGGAGAGGGCGGGAGACACGGGGAGACACGGGGAGAGAGCGGGGAGACTGGTAATAATATGCACTGTCCTTGAGTTTGATCAGAGTTGTCTCTTTTGTTTGCATTTGACTGCTTGTGCTGTGGTTATTGCAAACATGATGCCTTGAATAAAGGTGTCAGTTTTTGTGCCAGTCAAAAGGGTGAAAACCTATTCCTATATCTTGTTTCTGGCAAAGGAGGTCTCATAATGTAAATGCTCTCCCACTTATTGAAGCGTCGAGAGTTCACCGGAGCGAGGGGGGGGGAGGGGATCTCGTCACAAGTATTTGTGGTAGGATTATTTTCATGGCGACCGTCCGCTGCTGCTGCTGCTGCGTCCTGGTACAGCGCTTCGAGATCCTTCGTGAAAATCTGCTACGTCAATGGAATTATTATTATGGAGATAACGTCTTTCTCTCTCTCTCAAGATGGCTAGTAGATGTTAACTACCTCGCCTGGTATACAGGAGGTCTGTGTCTCTCTCCATCTCATCCTCATCATCATCACGGTGGCTATGAGATGTTGACTACCTCGCCTGGTCTACAGGAGGTCTGTGTCTCTCTCTCATCATCATCATCATCATCACGGTGTGCTAGGAGATGTTGACTACCTCGCCTGGTATACAGGAGGTCTGTGTCTCTCTCTCATCATCATCATCATCATCACGGTGTGCTAGGAGATGTTGACTACCTCGCCTGGTCTACAGGAGGTCTGTGTGTCTCTCTCTCATCATCATCATCACAGTGGCTATGAGATGTTGACTACCTCGCCTGGTCTACAGGAGGTCTGTGTCTCTCTCTCTCATCATCATCATCACAGTGGCTATGAGATGTTGACTACCTCGCCTGGTATACAGGAGGTCTGTGTCTCTCTCCATCTCATCATCATCATCATCACGGTGGCTATGAGATGTTGACTACCTCGCCTGGTATACAGGAGGTCTGTGTCTCTCTCCATCTCATCATCATCATCACAGTGGCTATGAGATGTTGACTACCTCGCCTGGTCTACAGGAGGTCTGTGTCTCTCTCCATCTCATCATCATCATCACGGTGGCTATGAGATGTTGACTACCTCGCCTGGTCTACAGGAGGTCTGTGTCTCTCTCTCTCATCATCATCATCACAGTGGCTATGAGATGTTGACTACCTCGCCTGGTATACAGGAGGTCTGTGTCTCTCTCCATCTCATCCTCATCATCATCACGGTGGCTATGAGATGTTGACTACCTCGCCTGGTCTACAGGTCTGTGTCTCTCTCCATCTCATCATCATCATCACGGTGGCTATGAGATGTTGACTACCTCGCCTGGTATACAGGAGGTCTGTGTCTCTCATCATCATCACGGTGGCTATGAGATGTTGACTACCTCGCCTGGTCTACAGGAGGTCTGTCTCTCTCATCATCATCATCACAGTGGTTATGAGATGTTGACTACCTCGCCTGGCCTACATGAGGTCTGTGTCTCTCTCATCATCATCACAGTGGCTATGAGATGTTGACTACCTCGCCTGGTCTACAGGAGGTCTGTCTCTCTCATCATCATCATCACAGTGGTTATGAGATGTTGACTACCTCACCTGGTCTACAGGAGGTCTGTCTCTCTCATCATCATCACAGTGGCTAGGAGATGTTGACTACCTCGCCTGGTCTACAGGAGGTCTGTGTCTCTCTCATCAACATCATCGTGGCTAGGAGATGTTGACTACCTCGCCTGGTCTACAGGAGGTCTGTGTCTCTCTCATCATCATCATCGCAGTGGCTATGAGATGTTGACTACCTCGCCTGGTATACAGGAGGTCTGTGTGTCTCTCTCTCATCATCATCATCACAGTGGCTATGAGATGTTGACTACCTCGCCTGGTCTACAGGAGGTCTGTGTCTCTCTCTCATCATCATCATCACAGTGGCTATGAGATGTTGACTACCTCGCCTGGTCTACAGGAGGTCTGTCTCTCTCATCATCATCATCATCACAGTGGCTATGAGATGTTGATTACCTCGCCTGGTCTACAGGAGGTCTGTCTCTCTCATCATCATCATCACAGTGGTTATGAGATGTTGACTACCTCGCCTGGCCTACATGAGGTCTGTCTCTCTCATCATCATCATCATCATCACAGTGGCTATGAGATGTTGACTACCTCACCTGGCCTACATGAGGTCTGTGTCTCTCTCATCATCATCACAGTGGCTAGGAGATGTTGACTACCTCGCCTGTTCTACAGGAGGTCTGTGTCTCTCTCATCATCATCATCGTGGCTAGGAGATGTTGACTACCTCGCCTGGTCTACAGGAGGTCTGTGTCTCTCTCATCATCATCATCATCATCGCAGTGGCTATGAGATGTTGACTACCTCGCCTGGTCTACAGGATGTCTGTCTCTCTCATCATCACAGTGGCTAGGAGATGTTGACTACCTCGCCTGGTCTACAGGAGGTCTGTGTCTCTCTCTCATCATCATCATCATCACAGTGGCTATGAGATGTTGACTACCTCGTCCGGTCTACAGGAGGTCTGTGTCTCTCTCTCATAATCATCATCACGGTGGCTATGAGATGTTGACTACCTCGCCTGCTCTACAGGAGGTCTGTCTCTCTCATCATCACAGTGGCTAGGAGATGTTGACTACCTCGCCTGGTGTACAGGAGGTCTGTGTCTCTCTCATCATCATCACGGTGGCTATGAGATGTTGACTACCTCACCTGGTCTACAGGAGGTCTGTGTCTCTCTCTCATCATCACAGTGGCTATGGGATGTTGACTACCTCGCCTGGCCTACAGGAGGTCTGTGTCTCTCTCATCATCATCACAGTGGCTATGAGATGTTGACTACCTCGCCTGGTCTACAGGAGGTCTGTGTCTCTCTCTCATCATCACAGTGGCTATGAGATGTTGACTACCTCGCCTGGCCTACAGGAGGTCTGTGTCTCTCTCATCATCATCATCACAGTGGCTATGAGATGTTGACTACCTCGCCTGGTCTACAGGAGGTCTGTGTCTCTCTCATCATCATCATCACAGTGGCTAGGAGATGTTGACTACCTCGCCTGGTCTACAGGAGGTCTGTGTCTCTGTCTCAACATCATCACGGTGGCTATGAGATGTTGACTACCTCGTCTGGTCTACAGGAGGTCTGTGTCTCTCTCATCATCATCACAGTGGCTATGAGATGTTGACTACCTCGCCTGGTCTACAGGAGGTCTGTGTCTCTCTCATCATCATCACGGTGGCTATGAGATGTTGACTACCTCGCCTGGTCTACAGGAGGTCTGTGTCTCTCTCTCATCATCAAAGTGGCTATGAGATGTTGACTACCTCGCCTGGTCTACAGGAGGTCTGCGTCTCTCTCATCATCATCCCAGTGGCTATGAGATGTTAACTACCTCGCCTGGCCTACAGGAGGTCTGTCTCTCTCATCATCATCATCACGGTGGCTATGAGATGTCTCTCTCATCATCATCATCACGGTGGCTATGAGATGTCTCTCTCATCATCATCATCTTCACGGTGGCTTCGAGATGTTGACTACCTCGCCTGGTCTACAGGAGGGTCGTGGGTTCGATCCCGACCCCCGACCCCCGACCCCCGACCCCCCTCCCCGGTTAGCTCGCTGCACTGCCCTGAGAAGCGGCCCGAGTTCCGATTCCCGCTCACAGCGGCCACCGCCGCCATCGCTCGGTGTGGACGGCTTCTCTCAGTGGCGCTGCCAGCCGTTTGGCCCCGAGATTCTGCGGCCCTCCGTACGTAGAGCTCCTTTGCGGTGCACGGCGTGTGGGTGCGATGTGAAACTCCCCCACGCCCCTCACGTAGCCCACGGCGCTCGAGAATCGGAGGTGCGCTGGGGACGTGTGCGTTTAAAATCTGCTTTGGAGAGTCGCCTCTAATACAACTTGTGACCTCTCTCTGATACAACTTGTGCCCTCTCTCTGATACAACTTGTGCCCTCTCTCTGATACAACTTGTGACCTCTCTCTGATACAACTTGTGCCCTCTCTCTGATACAACTTGTGCCCTCTCTCTGATACAACTTGTGCCCTCTCTGATACAACTTGTGACCTCTCTCTGATACAACTTGTGACCTCTCTCTGATACAACTTGTGACCTCTCTCTGATACAACTTGTGACCTCTCTCTGATACAACTTGTGACCTCTCTCTGATACAACTTGTGCCCTCTCTCTGATACAACTTGTGCCCTCTCTCTGATACAACTTGTGCCCTCTCTGATACAACTTGTGCCCTCTCTCTGATACAAATTGTGCCCTCTCTGATACAACTTGTGACCTCTCTGATACAACTTGTGCCCTCTCTCTGATACAACTTGTGCCCTCTCTCTGATACAACTTGTGCCCTCTCTCTGATACAACTTGTGCCCTCTCTCTGATACAACTTGTGCCCTCTCTCTGATACAA